GTTCCCATTTTGTGCTAGCAACGAAAACATAGACCTCCAAGGGAAAATCTAAAAAAGAAGAAGGAGAAAGAGGCTGAAAGTCATTCACGGGAGTATTTTAAAGCTTCAGCAAAGATATTAAAGAAGACATTCACAAATGAGGGACCGTCATGTTCATTACTAGAGTCAGTCTTGTAAAGATGTTGGCTCTTCCCAAATTGACAGGTACATTTAGTGCACTTCTAATTCAAGTCACCACAGATTTTTTGGGAAGAATTTGGCAATCTGGTTTCTAAATTTATTTGGAAGAACAAAGGCCAGGGTTAGCAAGGTGTTCAAGAGGAGGAAAAGGAGAAAGAAAGAAAAAAGATTTGCCGTAAGCCTGGTGAGGCTATGGTAATTATGAAAGTGTGGTCTTAAGAAAGAGATAGAAAAACTAATCAGTGGAACAGAAAGAGATTTATGCATATGGGAAAACCTGACATTTTCAGCTCACATAATCACAGATCATTGGGAAGAGAGTGAGTGTGATGGGCGATTTTATGTGTCGACTTGACTGGACTAAGGAGTGTCCAGATAGCTGGTAAGTCATTATTTCTGAGTGTCTGTGAGGGTGTTTCTAGAAGAGATGAGTATTTGAATCAGTAAACTGAGTAAAGGAGATATGCCCTTAGCAGTGTGGGTGGGTATCATCCAGTCCATGGAGGACAAGTCCAGATAAAATAGAAAGAAGGAGGAAGGGCAAATTCTCTGTTTTGCAGTGAGGACATCCATCATCTTCTGCCCTAGAAATTGGGGCCCCTGGGTTTTGGGCCTTTGAACTTGGACTCGAACTACACCACCAGCTTTGCTGGGCCTCTGGTGTGCAGGTGGTAGACCATGGGACTTCTCCGCCCCCATACCTGTATGAGCCAATTAGCTGTAATCAATCTCTTTCTATGTACCTACATGAATCCTATTGGTTCTGTTTCTCTGGAGAACCATGACTAATACTGTGACCCATTTAATTAATGGTTCCAGTACTACTCGTTATCCAAATGAAATAACAAATTTGGACCCCTCCCTCACACCATGTAAAAATTGCAGCATGAAATGTTAAAGAACATGTTAAAGGAAAAATATTAAATATTTTTTTAAAAGAATATAAAGCTTTTTAGGTTTGTTAAACAGTTCTTCAAAAAATGCATTAGCCATACTAGAAAAGATTGATAAATCTAACAACAAGAAGTCTCTGAGAACCGGAGAGGCTGAGAGTAAGGGGGTATCATGTCTAAGAAAGCTTTTAACGCACAGCTATGTTTTTCCCTCAGATATTATTACCAGTGACTTGCTTTTTTTTGAGTTGGAGTCTCACTCTGTCACCCAGACTGGAGTGCAGTGGCTGCT